TCGATCTATAGCAAAAATTTTAAGGGCCTGTTATTGGCAAATCCGTGGCTATCTTTAATTAGAATGAATTAAGTTACATAGTTAGGTAACACAAACTGGCGTTAAAACAAACCTATGAAAACTTTAATAAATACTTTTTATAACTTTCTAAATTCGCCTCTGAATGTCATTGTCGCAGTACTTAAAGCAATAAATCAATGTTGCTATCAGAATTATCTTCTTCATTCTCATATGCAACCTAACTCCAGTAACTTCGAAGAAGTTTCTCTGCAAAACTTGCTTGAAATCGGAGGTGGTGCCATCGGACCCGAATGATCAAATCGAGCATTTGTATATGGCGCTCTACATAAAGAACACTGCGGCACCTAGGGCTATACAACTCATGTGGGCAATAATAAATAAATTAAAGTACAGTATTTAATTTATATTCAAAAGAAATTCAAAAGAGATAGAACCTCCACTAATAAGATGGAACATATACACGGACACAATATATGGTACAAACTTGCAATGAATTTCTTCATAAAGCTTAAACGAGGATAAACTTCATAAACAATATATTTCATCATTTATTAAATGTCATCTTTTCAATAAACTCTCGTACGTCAAATCGGCTGAACCGGGGAACATAGATTAAGTATTTAGTGCAAGTACAAACAAAGGTAAAAGGTTAGAATCAAATATAGAATTTAAGCTAACAAAAACAAAATATCCAAAACAAGTCTACGTTATATTAGGCCTATATTGAAAAAAAAACTTTTCAAAAATTCGGCCAAATTCGGCCAAATATAGTTTGGCCGTGACTTTTCAAATGCTACGGCCAGACAAATTTTTATACGGCCAGATTTGAGGAATCTGGCCGTCAAAAAGGCCAAATGGCAACCCTGATGGCCAGCACCAGCCATACCGCCCTCAATATCGATCATTGATCATCAATAAACAAAGCACGCTTGATGCATACACACTTTTTTTTCTATAATTCACAATTTTAAGGGCAATAAAGGGCATTTAAGGGCAAAGAATAAAACTCAGGGGTGACGCCAGTGGGGACGGGGGGTGGGGACAGAGCCGTCGTCTTGGAAAGCTGCCCCACCCCCGTTGGGGAGAAAAGCATGGAGGTATTATAAACCACAACTCGTCGGGGAGAACAAAAATTATATGTATTTTCTACATTTAAATACCTGTAGACGCTGAAGCCTCTGAAACCCCTAAAATTGTCAAAATTTTTGGAGGTTCGCCATCTGAACCACTTTCGCAATATTTTGAACGACACCTGACCACGCCAACATTGGTCGGGCAAATCCTAGCGCCACCGCAGCAAAAAAAAAAAACAAAAACAAAAAAAAACCCCGTAAAGATCATATAGGCCTATATATTATTATATAGGCCTATATATATATATATAAACATATATATACACATATACATGTATATATACACATATATATACATATTATATACTCATATATATATATATACATATATATACATATAATATATATATATATATGTATATGAAAACAAATAGATAAATAATAATAACTGTTTTCAAATAGAATCATATACATAAATATGCCTATATTATTATATACAGTACAGTAATATATTATCATATAAAACATAAAAGAGAGCCCTAGTCTACAACTCCTATGCCTTATGGTAATTTTGGAGAGTAGGCCTAGTGGTGCCTGCCCGACTTTGAACTCATCATGAAGTGAAGGCATGATACCGTATAATAAATAATTTTGTGAGAAGGTTTGGTAAAATAACTTTGTAAATTCTCCTGTAATGTAGTTTCGAATCATTAGGTTGTTCCCTAAATAAGGAGCTTAAAATGGATCGATTTATTTAACACTGTTTTTTTTCCCTTTAAATTTGGATTAATTTTCTTTACATAAACATAAAATTTACATCACACTTGAGACTAACTAAATAAATAGCTAGACCTATGCAATGCCAAATAAATGGTAATTAAACTGGATTTAAATTCTTTCGTAACACTAATAAACATACCGGTATTGAATCGCAAATGGATTAAACTTGAAGATTGATCGGTCATAGAACACAGCTGTCATACCAATATTATTATAATATGAATAAACATTTATTACACTAGCTCCCGGATACTGTATCGTACGGGGGTCCCAAGTTGGAAGAATTCACACCGGGAGATCCCTTTAAATGAGTTTTCTAAACACGTCTATTTATATATGTTGCTGTGCATGGTGATAAACATTGGCACTGACTTCCGTGAGACAATTGATAATACAGTAGTAAAAACTGGCAAATATAGTGACTTTGCAGGAGTGCAGCATATTGTTCGCGGGAGTGCAGCAGGCCTTCCCGCCGATTTTTAGGAGACACCATCCTGGGACTCTGGAGGCACTAAATGTGATCTTTAGATTTCTGTCTTTATAGTGAAATTAAGAAGTAATACACTAAATGTTTATGTTTTAAAATGGATGACTGCATGAGCTTACTTATTCTCAGGCTGCTTTCTTAATAAATAAAAAGTCATGGTAGCCAGACATGAAGTCCTAGTCCTGTCCTAATCGTTTTACCCAACTCCATTAAAATATTACAGTAATCATTACTAACATCGTCCTAACACTATCGTTACCGTATTCAATATACACAAAACACTGTATATACGCAAAAACATCTTATTATGTGCATTGGCTAATATTTTTACGTATAAATCATATATAACACAATGTTTTATAGAAAAATTGCATTAACATCGTTACTTATTTTATGGTGGTCTTTAAGTGGAGAACAATTTTTCGTTTGGGTCTGCCAAAACCATGGTCGGTCTCTAAATAGGGGAGTCTTTAATTAGAGGGAACAGCTATTGATAAAAGATAAAACATGAAAACATGTAACATTTTATGATTTTCCAGGATTCTTGATTGCTTGCGGGAGTGCTGGAAGCTGTCCCGATTTCCATGAGACTCCCGTGAGTTGAGGGAAACTTGGGACCCCTGATCTTAACAAGATTCATTGGCCGGTCATGTGATCAAAGCTCATTAAATGAGTATTTTTAATAATTTAGCAGAGCCTACTATTATCGTTAGGCATTTACAATACATAGGTCTAAGACAAAATATCAGAAATTGAATTGAATAGTTGAATTAGCACAGAGACGTATATATAATTTACGTTCGGGTGAGACGTAAAGCCGTTGGTCTTTTACCAAGTGTCGGCCCATGTGCCGACACGACGTTAAAGAACGCAGTACATTATATGGCGAGCCGAGTTGTCATTTACTCGTAAATAGAGATATCTTAGTTTTAAATAGATATCTTAGTTTTAAATAGAGATATTTCTATTTAAATAGAGATAGACCTATCTTAGTTTTAGATAGAGAAATCTCTATTTAAAACTAGGCCTTCAGCAGCCTAGGCTAGGAATTAAGTACGGTTTTAGGCCTCGTAGTATATGAGGTATACAAAACAAATATTGACTGCTCTAGATTCGGGGAATGGTGAAATCTGTTGCCCCGAGGTGATGCCCTCGGAAAGATAGGGTACGGTCTCCACATCACTTCGGGGCAATAGATTTCACCATTTCCCTCAAGAGCAGTCAATATTGTGTATAGCAGATAACAGATACAGCTTATAGGGCCTAGTTCATGTAGGCCTACACTGCGTCAACAACGTTTAGAGGAGACCGAAATCCCAAAACACTGCCCATGTTATAATACATACTGGTAGTAGCAGTTTTACTTTCATGACTCACGTTAAGAACGAAACAGGATGTATTACTACTACCATAATTTTCATGATCTATTCAGGTTAGCTATATAAACCTATATAAATGCGTTGATCTTCTGTCTGACAATTGGCCTATTTTTATAGTATCGCTAATAATCTTTGCCGAGATTTAAGTCTTTTGAACATGTCGATACCAGTGTAGATACAGTATACAGAGAAGTAACAATTTTATAAGCATGTGAATAATAATGACAAGTTAAATTTATATTATTTCAATTATCTGTTTATATTCTGACTTTTGTTTACACTATACTGTTGGTTTATTAGCCATCCCCATGCAGTCGGCATACTGTGGGAATGTTCATTATCTATTTTCTCATTACAAACTGTTTATAATAACATTAAGACAATGGCTTTGCCAGTGATCAATATTCATGAAAGATGACAACTAACTAAGCTCGGTACACTGTTTACTACATTTGTTTATTTCTCATTAAGTTCGGTACCGCCCATTTTTGTTTGTTGAGAATTATGATTATGGCACTTCTACTTCTAAATGGCCGGAAATGGGACTTCAGACTTAACATTCCGGCTGTCACCCACACTAGATATAATATGATATGCAGTATGTTTTACATTCGATGTCAGAGACATATTATGCTGTACAGTATAAAGAAAGCCCATTGGGTCAGGGTGCTAGATCGGGGACCGTATGGGATACCGAAGGGGCTCTAACGGTCGAGGGGAACGCGTTAGTACTTACGCTGATAAAATTCAC